CCGCATCACGGGCGTAATTGGCTGGATCCAGCAGGTGCTGACGTGAGGTGCTGCCCGCGGCAGAGCTGGGGCCCACCTCTGGAACTCAGAGGGCCCACGGCACCAGCTAGGTGGGGGGGTGAGTGTTCTGGGGACGGCAGGGCCCTGCGGGGGCAGGAAGGAGTATCCCCCCCCCCCCGCCCAGCCTGCTCCCTGGCATCTGCCCCAGGGAGGGCAGAGGAGCGGGGAGGGCCATCAGCTGGCCATCAAGACACCAGGCCCGGCGGGGGGCTTCACATCCAGGCCTGTCGCCTCCCAATTCTCTCTCTCCCTTCCCCATCCTCCACCGCTGACTTTGGGGGGAAACAGTTCAGTGGTGATAATGCGGCTTCCAGGTCCCGGTAGGAGTGGCTGATCACACCTGCCTCCCAGGGCAGCATCCGCTCTATTCCATCCTGTGAAGCCCTGGCCTCACTGGAGGGGTGGGGATGGAAGGAGCCCCCGAGGAGGGGCCCTCAGAGCCCTGGAGACAGCCAAGTGGGCCAGCTGCCACCGTAAGCCAAAGGGTGGGGGGCCCCGGTCCAGGGTCCAGGGTCCTCGCCCACCCCCACCTGCCCCGCCCTGCTCCTGCCTTCACTGCCGGCTCTCAGCTGGCGGTGAGCTCAGCTGCCCTGTGGAATAAAGCCGTCTGACCCAAGGCCCTGTCGGGGGTGTGAATGGGGCCCGGGCACCAGCCTCACGCCCTTGACCAAGCAGATTCTGCTTCCTGCGCAGCCTCTTGGCCAAGTGTCCAGAAGGCCAAGGTGGGGTCAGCGGGGGCAGCCGTGGCCTCCAGGGCAGCTGCCCAGGTCCCAGGAGCAACCCTGGGAAGGCAATGGTTTGGTGGCCCTCACGTCAGAGTGAGGGATGGGACAAGTGATGGGCTCTTTCTGGAACCCTGGGAGGAAACTGAGGCTGAGAGAGAGGCAGAGACGGCCTCCAGATCGCACGAGGGGTTGGGAGTGGAGTCCGGTTGGAAGCCCTGCCCCTGGTTCCCAGTCCACCACTTCCCTCCAGCACCACACTCCCTTTGATTCTCTGAGTCATTTAGTCAGCAGGCAGCTCACAGGCTCCTGCTGTGTGCTGAGTACTGTGCTGGGGCCACAGGGATGCACAGAACCTGGCTCCCGATCTCAGGAGGGGTGGGGATGACGATCCAGCATGAAGGGGCTTTGGGGCAGCCTGTAACTCGGGAAGTCAGGGAAGGCTGCCTGGTGGAGGTGAGTCTTGAGTTGGGGCTCAAAGGTGGCCAAGATGGGGAAGGGCATTCCGGGAAGGAGAACAGCATGTGCAAAGGCATAAAGTCCCCAAAGAACGTGGCATATGAGGGAACAGGAAGCCATTAGTTAGAACAGAAGTTCAGAGGGGGAGGACTGAAGAGGAATTTGGAGGGGCGAACTGAGATCTAGATGACAAAGAGCTTGGAGTTGAGCTAAGGACTTGACCCTGAGTGCTCTGGGGAGCCATGGAAGGCTCTATAGCAGAGGAGTGACACATGAGGGGACTCACATTTTAGAGCCACCACTGGCACCAGTGTGGAGGGGGCAGCAGCCTGGGGAGGAGGCCACTGCAGAACTCCAGGAAGGAGAGGATGGGGCCTGGACCGAGCGGGGCAGTAGGGATGGACTGGGGGGTTGTTTAGGGTCACCTCAGTAGATGAGGCTGGGCTGAGGAAGGAGTCACCCGGGTCCACTCCCAGGGGTCTGGCCTGAGCAGCTGGGCCAGTGGAGGACCCACTGCCTGCCCTGGGGCACTGGGGAGGGAAAGGCTCTGGGAAGGTGTCATGAACTCGGGGTGCCTCTGGGAGGGAGATGTCCAGGAGGCAGGTGGAGTTTGAGGGAGAGGTCTGGAGGGGGGATTTCAGAGCCACCAACCATGGAAGGTGGTCCAGGGAAGACTGAGGAGTGGGGGACTCAGACTGCAGACATGGGGGCCCTGAGTGGGAGCTGAAGGGTGTGGCCAGAGGCTGGAGGGGATCTGAGAGGAGTCTTAGCAACCAAGGCTGTGGCCGAGTGGGGGTGGTCAGGGAGGGCCGCTGGGCCGGCCCTGGGGTGGCTGGTGCCCTCTCGGCACAGCGGTGGAGGTGAGGAATGGGGGAGTCAGGTGTGGACAAGACTTTCTTGAAGCCCAGCCGGGAGAAGGAAGGGGGAGCCTCAGAGGGGACCTAGACTCGAGGGGATTTCAAAGACAGGGAGCAGCTACGAGTCCTTGGGTGGATGAGCAGGCCTGGGGCTGGCAGAGGGGAGCCGAGCCTGCTGGGCTTCAAGCTCCCCCGCCTGCTGGGTCCCGCCTGCGGGAGACGGAGCAGAGGGAGCCGCCGCTGTGGGGGATGCCTTTGGGGTGGGGACGGGATGTTAAAGTTCCACCCCAGTAGCCTTTCACGGTCCTCAGAGGGGGTTCTCAGAGGGGCAGCAGAACACAGCATTGGGGGCCTTGCTAAAATGCAAATTCATGGCCCCACCCCAGTCTTAATTAGAGTTGGGGGCGGGGGCGGGTAACCTGTTCCTATAACAAGCCTCCTGGTGACTCTCTGCAGGCTGGACACTCTCTGAAGGTGGACACAAAAAGTGAGGTCAGCTTCAGCGAGCACAGTGTCCACGGGGAGGCGGCGAGGCCCCCAGACTCTGAGGGGGGCGGGAGGAGCCTCACCCGGCCCTGAGGAGGACCTCATCCTGGGGGACCGCTGCTCTGCAGGGATGTCCCAGCAGCGCTGAGTTGCTGGGGGCAGAGGGAGCAAGGTGGGGACCAGCAGGAGGAAGGAGGTGAGGGACGTGTTGGGGGCCGTGGGGGGGGCCTGGCTGGAGCCAGGGCCTGGGTGTTGTATTTCCTAGGCCTTGGGGCAGAGGGTGGGGTAGGGAGGGGTGGAGGTGAGGAACAGGAGTCATGGCAGGAAGAGGGGGCATCCTGGGAGGCTAGGATGGAGCACAGGCAGCCTCGGGCAGTGCAGAGTGAAGCCAGTGAGCAGAGAGCCATCGGGCATGGGGTGAGGCTGGGAAGTGGGGGGACAGGGAGCCTGGCTTGGAGGACCTGGACTCCTGATTCCAGGAGCCCAATTCCCTACTCCCTCAGTGCCCTCAACTGGCCTAGGGCTGCCTGGAGGAAGGGACCTGCCTGACTGCAGGGGGCTGGGCCTTAGAAGTTATCTGGTCCAACCTCCCACTTTACAGATGAGGAAACTGAGGCCCAGAGAGGGGCAGGCACTTGCCCAAGTTCCCCTAGCAAGGCGGAGTTGGTGCCCATGTTCAGCCACTAGGCAGCGGATCCAGCCATGGTAACCTGCCCCCGACATACACAGGAGAGTGACAACGGGGCAGGGCCCCCGGCTTTAGGAGAAAGCCCCATTACCTCTGGGTTGTCTACCCCACCTTGAGTTCAGCCCTGTCCCCAGAAGTGGCCCAGAGAAAGAGAGGGAGGCAGCCAGGGCGGCCGAGTCTCCAGGTTTTATTACACGGCGGGTCGGACACAGCTGAGAAGAAAGAACCGAGCCCGGGGAGTCATAAGCGCAGGAGGGCCCCGCGCTCAGCCCCTGCCGCCCGACTGTCCCCTGGGCAGAGGGAGGAGTGTCGCCCTTTCCCTGATCATAAGTTCCTGGGTGGCCCCACTGCCCCTGCTGAGCCACTGCCTGCCCCTCCTGGCCAGGGCACTCCGCACCCCAGAAGACAATGGGGGTGGGAGCAGTCAAGGGGAAGGCCAAGTCACCACCCCTCCTTCCGACAGGGCCAAGCCGCACGGCCTCCATCTCCCACCAATACCTCAATCGCCATTGAGGGCTAAGCAGGGCCTTCCCCCTCCCAGGGAACGGTGAGGGGGCCTGCCCTGTGTCTGGCCCTTTATAGGCTCCCCAAGGGCTTTCGGGGACCTTGGTCCTCTTTGTAGCCTCACAACAACCCTGCGAGGTAGGTGGGGTGGAAGAGTGAACCCATTTGACAGACGGGGAGACTAAGGCTCAGGAGGTGAGGTGATTGGCCCTGGAGGGAGTGTATCTACCATGCAACTGGGGAACCGGGGGAGGGACACAGGGGCCTGGGAGACACAGCTAGACAGCGCCACACTTTGGCCACAGGCAGGCGGCTCTGCCCAGGGGTCCTAGGGCCCACCTCAGGGGGACATCACAGCCCCGCAGGTGCAGACAGAGGTGGCAGCGGGGAGAGCGCTTCCTCCGCCTCGGGCTGGGGGCCCACCCCGCGGTACAAAAATAGAGGATTTCAGATCGGAACCCCAAGTCCCTGGAGGTGATCTGGGGCCTCACATCCGGGCGCCTCTGGTTTGTAACAGCTAGAAAATAAGAGGGGAGGGGCAGGGGGTCGGGGTGGGGTGGTCAGAACACAGGGAGGGGGTGAGAGGGTGGGGCCAGTGAGGAGGGGGTGGTGCAGAGCCAAGAGGGGGGCAGAGAGGAGATTGAAATGGGGGGGGAGAGAGAGGGAGAGAGAAAGAGGTAGGTGAGTCACAGGGTCCCTTCTGGGAGGCGGGAGTGGGGCTGAGGCCCAGAGCAGGTGGATTCAGAGCTAAGGAAGAGGGGGAGCAGGAAGGGGACCCAGCTCGCCCATCTGGGAGCCCCATGCCTGCGCTGGGTGGTGGCCAACTAGGAGGCCAGATCCTGCCAAGACTCTGGCCAGGGGGTCAAAGCCAAGAGAGGCAGGTCACCGCTGCTGTCTCAGGTGAAAGGTCAGAGAGAGCAGCTGTCTGTTCTCACTTTAGAGGCAACTATGGCCCAGAGAGGGACAGTGACTTGCCCAAGGTCACACAGCACGTGGATAAGATTGAGTGGGGGCTTGTGGGCAACTGGCCAGGCCTTTTTCTGCCACACCCCGATCCTCAGCCGGCTCTGGCTGACTCCTCGTAGGCCAAGGGAGTCCAAGTGTGGCCTGTCCTTCCCACCCCCAGAAGCAGGGAACCCAGTGCCATGAGGCTGCGATGCAGGAGCTGCCGGAAGTTGGGCTGAGTCCAAGGAACGGGAGATGAGCACCCTCCTGGCTTCCAGCCCTCCCTCCAGCTCCACTCGGCTACAAACCAGGGACGGCAGCTCTGGGGGCGGGCGAGGGGCCAGGAGAAGCACCCCCTGCAAGTGCAGCCTCAGGTCTGAGGGGGTGCAGACAGGAGCCTGTAAGGAGGAAACGTGAGGAGGCGGCGAGGAGGTGAGGCGCCCACCAGGGCAGAGCGGCCCGGCCTCAGAGGCGCCCGGCGGGGTGGGCAGGCACAGAGGAGGTGCAGCTGCGCCCTTCCTCCCCAGGCTGGGAGGCGGGAGGTGCCAGAGGGGGTGCGGGAGGCAGCAGGCAGGATGCTCTGGGGTGCAGGACCAGGGCACCTGGGTGGAGGGCGCGGGAGGCTGGGACCAGGGCAGCCCCGGGATGGAGGTGGGAGCAGGCGGAGAGGAGACCGGGGCAGGAGCAGAGAGGGAAGAGGCAGGGTGCAGATGAGATCCAGGAGGAGGAGGAGGAGGATGAAGATGAGGCAGGCCCTCCAGCGGGAAGCGGAGGAGGAGGCGGTGGTGGGAGGGAGGAAGGGTTAGCGGGATCCTGAGATGACCGGGCTGCAGAGAGAAAGTGAGAGAAGGGACGGTTATGTAGGTGAGGCGCCAGGCACCGGCTGAGCTACCCTGGTGGGCCCGCCCCCCGCAGGCCCGGCCCCCCGGGTTCTGCAGCTGGCTCCAGCAGGGGGCGGGCAGGAGGCTCCGGCTGGTTAGCAATCACTCTCCTCGGGGGTTGGCTGCACCTTTCTCCTGTGTACCTGCCTCCACCTGCACCTGCACCTCCTCCTCCTGCCGCTGCTCCTCCCGCTGCTCCTCCGTGCTCTGTGGACCAGCCGGCGGACCCAGGGAAGAAAGAGTGGAGAACTAACGCCAGGGCAGGGCCTGCTGGCGGCTGTCCCCTCCGGCCCCCGTCTCAGGGAGGGCGGGTAGGCAAGATGAAGGGGGACCTCAAGGAGGGGGAGGGCTACAGCCAAAGAGTCTGGGGCGTCTTGTCCAGTCCCCTGGGAAGGGACTGGAGAAACCAGGAGAGGACGGGGCCCTGCAGGGGAGGCTCCTGGAGCAGTGTGGCTGCTGTGACGTGCAGCAGGGCTGAGGGACGAGTGGAAGAGGAAGAGGGACAGGGTGTGTGTGGCTGGGGTATCCGTGAGGGGCGCCTGGGAAGGCTTCATTTTAGGAGGGCTGATCCAGAGCAGACAGGAAGCCAGGGAGGGCCCAGGGCAGACAGCACCCAGATCTGGGATGCCAGCAACAGGCTCTGGCCGCCCAGGTCCTGAGGCTTTGGCCCAGAGAGGCAGGAAAAGCAGGCTCATTCGGCATCCTTAGAGGCAGCACCAGCCACTGGCCCCGATGGGGGTGGGGTGGGCAGGGCAAGTCACAGGACGGGGAGGCAGACAGCCGGACAGGAAGCTGCAGTTCATGAGTCTCCATCACACAGGGGCAGGCCCCCAGAAGGAGTGGTCTCCCTTCTTCCCAGCCCGGCTGGGAAGCTTGCTGCCTGCCCCACTGGCCCTACCAAAGGCCCTCGAGGCGTCCGACCAGCTCTGGGTCCAGGGTGGCAGGACCTCCGCTCGGGCCCCACCCCACAGCTGGCTGGTGCTGCCTCAAAGGCCAGGGCAGAAACACAGGGCCAACCCCACAGGGTTCCCGACCCCTCTCCTGCAGAGTGCCTGAGAAGGGAGCATGGGACAGGGGCAGGATTAACAGGCCAGCAGGGGACATCTACCTGCCCCCGGCAAGTAAACTGGCCATTTGGATCCCAGAAGTTCCAAGCTTGATGACACCACAGAGGGGACATGGTCCACCCCTCTCCCTTCTCAGAGAACACAACCAAGGTGCCCAGAGGGGACACAGAGCAGGGCCCATCATGCCCAGACCCCTAGTTCAGTGCACTCTCCCTCATGCCACGCCACCCTGTGGCCACCATGTGGCCACAATTCAAGTGGCATCTACGTCCCCTCTGCCGCGCCCTCGGGATGGTCCCCAGCCTGGGCCTGGGCACCGGCATGAGCAGACAGGACCCTGGGGGGCGTGGGATGGATGGCGTGGCTGTGATGGGGGTTATGCGTGTGCAGCAGGAGGGAGAGAGCAGCAGCAGGGATGGCTAGGTGGAGGGCGGGAGGGGGAGGGGGAGGAGGAGGTTGGGGGGCTCACCTTGGTCTTGCGGCTGGACTCGGAGCTCAGCCCGTGCGGGGAGCTGTACAGCTCCTTGGACACGACGCACAGGAACTCGGCCTGGTCCTCGCTGCCGTAGTTATAGGAGGAGCCGATGTTCACCAGCTGGAGGGGAAGAGCGTGGGGAGAAGGACGACAGGTCGGGATGGGGGGCAGTGGGGAGGGGGGTGGACAGCGGCACTGGCGCGATACCAACATGTCCTGATCTTGGACTTCCCTTCAGGCCCATCCCTGGGTTTCCAGAGGACACTTTGGGCCGGAAGTCAGTCTCCTCCCCCACCCCCACCTATGCATCTGGTCTGTCTGCAGGACCAGCCTCCCCACCTGGCTGGGCCTGATCCCCAGAGGAGGGTGGCAGTATCACTGCTGCTCCAGCCCCGGATCCCACAGGCCACCTTCTGAAGCCAGGCAGAGACCTGTAATGAGCAGGCTGCCCCCGCTGTCTCAGATGCGGCTGAAGCAGCCCCAGAACCAGGTTGCAGGGCGGGGGTTGGCATGGTGGAGCCTCACAGAATATTCTGTTCACTCTTGGAAGCAGAGGTAGAATAGGTTGTCCATTTCTTAGGCCAGAGGGCAAATGACCAGCGGCCCCCGACCTGCCTGTTTGGCCCCTGACAACCCGTGCAATTGCCAGAGACCCCTGTAGGCTCTCAAGAGTGGCCCCACCTGGGTTCTGGGGTCCCTAGAAATAACCACAGCCACAAGGCCCCTTCTGATGGATAAAGGCCGTGCACATGACGGGTCCCCTCAGCCCTCAGGGGCCCTCATCCAGCAGGCAGAGAGAAACATCAGCCCCTTGGGTGGACAAGGCTTGGCGAGGTGGTGACTTGCTGAAGTCCCACAGCCAGGAAGAGGGGAGTGGGGATTAGAATCCGGGATCTCGAGTCCTCTCAGGGGTCTTGTCGACTTAAATCCTTCTAGTAATTTGCATGATGCTAGCCAGCTCCAATGTCTAGAGTCCTACCCTGGGCTAGGGACGTTATCGGTGGTCCTTCTCATCTTCACAACAGTCCTGCAAAGGAAGCACTATTGGCCCACAACACAGATTAGTAGACTGAGGCCCAGAGAGGAGACGTGACTTGCCCCAGGTCTCCCGGCACGTCAGTGGTGAGCTTCGTCCGTACTGCCTGGCCGTCCTGGGGGCCCCGGCCTTCTCCCTTCTGGACCTCCACGTGCAAGGGAGCTTGTGGGTGGGTGCGGATAAAGGGTTAGCCAAACCTGTCTCCTCTAAGGGCAATCTGACCTCGAGTGAACCTGCTGGCTCGTGTCCTCTGGGCACCTGAGAGAGGTGGGACCTCAGCTGTATGACTGGGGCAACCCTGCTTCCGAGAAAAAGTGCTCCTGATTGGGAGGAAGTTGCGGTCACTATAAATACCTCACGGGAAGTCACTGCTCTGGCCTTCCTGGAATGTGGCAACATTGTAACTGGGCGCGTCCCTTGCGGGGACCCTGGAAGCTGTGCCAGTGGAATTGTTACAAGAAGTGTTGACCCACGGTGGGCGGTGCGCTCCCCTATGTGGATCTCGTCTCCTTGCCCCTGAGCTTCCTGGGGGCCAGAGACTCGCTCACACTGCTGTGTAGACCACTGCCCGGTTGCTGGGAGAACTCCCACCCAAGAGGATGCCTGGAACATCCTGTGGCAAGCGCGGCCTCCAGCCTCTCTCCTTCCTGGTCACTCTGCTGGCAGCGTGGCCTCTCCTAGTCTTGTTTAGTTGGACTTGAGAAGACCCCCGGGTGGGGGCTGCCAGAAGGGAGGGCCTGCTCTGCCTGGAGGCTGGCGCGTCCCAGCTGTGGCCCCAGGTCCCGGGCTACCTGCTCGAAGCGCCAGCCGTCGGACATAGTGGAGACCATCTGCGTGAGCTCCTCCTCCTGGCACTGTAGCACGCGGTACACGTGCTTAGGCGGGACCTGCGGGCAGAGGGTGACGTGGCGGGCACCTGTCGGCCCCCAGCTTCTTCTCCTCCCCACCACGTACCCCTAGAAGGAGGGGAGGGCAGGGAGCAGGGAGGGAAGTCGGAGCCACGTTCTGAGTACCTACTATGTGCCAGGTGCTCGACACGCATGCTCTCACTTAATCCTTCCCTATGAGTTGTGGGATTTTCACAGAAGCTCAGGGGCAGAAGCTCAGCTGCTTGCCCCAGGTCACCCAGCTAAAGAGTGGCAGAGCCAGAACGGGAACACGGGTGATACAAGAGGGAAGGCAGGAGGGGCTGGGGGGACGTTCTGGGTCACTAACTGAGGCAGGCCCCCCAGGAGACATGGAGTCTCCCCCTTCGATCTCCTGGGCTGGGAGACGGTACCTCACTACCTGGCCCCCACCCCCCACGTCTCCCCCAGGCAGGCAGAGAATCTCTCCAGCTCCTCCCAGCGACTGGTCCCTTAGGCCCAGGGTCCAGGCTCAGAAATGCCAGCTCCTGCCGCTTGTCCCGTGCCCACCAGGGGACTGCCTGATCCCTCGACATGGACAGTTTACTAATCCTGCACTGCCCCCCCGAGGGCCCCTGTATCTCCACTACGACCTCATTTTGCCTGTGAGGAAGGGAAGGGTGGGCAGTTCTCAGCACCTCTGTACTCCACAAGAGGAAATCAAGGTCCAGAGAGGGGTATGATTGGCCCAAGGTCACACAGCAAACAGAGCCGAGACAGGGACAGAACCCAGCGTCCGTCTCCCAGTCTGGGGCTTTGCTGGCAGTCTGGGAGCTAGACAGCCGCCCCTCCCCTTACAGGCTAGCTCGGCCTCCCCAAGGAAAACACTAGTTCCCCCTCCCCCGCCTCCCTCTCTCTCTCCCCACCTCCCTCTCCCCACCACCCCCTGCCCTGGCCACGGATGCCGCTCCGCTGCTCCCGACCTGCGTGACGGTATAGTCCTTCTCCTCCATCCGGTCTTTGATGATGCGGATCAGCGGGCCGATGTTGTAGAACTCCGCCTCCTCCAGGACCCCTGGTGCAGAGAGAGCAGCCCCCAGGTCACTCCCACTGCCCCATGCCCCGTTCTCCCCTTGTCCCCTCCGCCTCCAAACCCACCTCCCGCTCCAGTCACTCAAGGGTGACGAGCATCTCCGAGTTCAGGGGTCAAGCAAGAGGGAACATTTCCTTCCCTGGATCCCACACTCTCTGTGGAAGGGGCGAGGTGCAGCCACTCGGCCGGCCCTACGTCTGTGCTGTGCTGAGCGTGGTGACCCAGTCCCCTAATCGGGGGGCTGCTCTCTCAAGAGGCAGCAGGCGCGTTGGCACTGGACCCTAGAACGCCACAATGAGAAGGGCCTCAGCTTGCCCCATCAGGTGCTCCCATTTAGGAGGCACATGCTAAGTGCCAGGCATTTCACATTCTTTACTGCAGTTAATTCTCAGAACTAGAAGTACGTACTTTCATCGCCCCAAGTGAACAAACGGGGAAACTGAGGGCCGGAAAGAGAAGCAGCTTGTCCGAGCCCACACAGCCAGTACGCAGCACAGCTGACATTCAAACTCAAGCTCCCCTGACTTAAGAGCCCACTACAAATGCATAATCCTTGTGCACGTGCATCTCCCCACCTGCCGCACATTACAGTTTGTAAAGCCCCTCATGTGCTCATCACAAGCCTCGGGGACATGGGGGAAGCAGGCATTACTGTCCCCATACAGTTAAGGGAACTGAGAGGCTGAGAGACTGAGTCACTGCTCCAGTGAGGTGGAATGGCCCTAGGCCTGGACTCCCCTGGGCTCCTGCAGGGCAAGAATCCTTCTGGTCCTTTCCATGTCTGGCCTCTGGGCTCCCTGGGGACAGGGCCCATGTCTGATCTACCCTGGTGTCCCCAGTGCCCACACAGCCCCTAACACAGAGTAGCCGGTCAGTGAGTGCTGTTGTCTGAGCGCCCCTCATGGGGCCCTGCAGAAGACAGACAACTGACCTCTTGTCACTGGTCCCCGGTGCTGGGCACTGCGCCAAGTGACATGCTTGTGTCAGCTCCTCGTATCCTCACAGCAGCTCAGCAAGGCAGGTGCTACTGTCACCCCATTTCACAGATGTGGGCACGGAGGCACAGAGGGGTAAGTGGCTTTCCCAGTGTCACACGGCTAGGAAGTCTCTCCCCCAGGTGCCCCCGCCCCCTGGGTGGTGCCCAGCCCCGTTTGAAGGTGCCGGGAGTGGCAGGACTTTGAGGACCCAAAACCTGTAACCAGGTGTTGGCTGTGACGCAGCTGGAGTGTTCACTGTCCCTCCCCGAGGAACCTGCTCCCGGGCCCGGGCCACACCCATGGCATCTGTGCTCCCGAGGGGCTGCCAGGGGAGCCATGGGCTCTGCAGAGCCGGTGCCTACAGCAGCCCTGGCCCCTGGGGAGCCACTGGGCTTCTAGGTCACTGTGTCCTACAGGGGTCAGGAGGGGCGACCGTGGGACCGAGTGAGTTGGGATGGGCTGTGCTACACACCCACAGGGTACAAGCGCCCAGACTCATGACATCTGTTGTCCCAAAACACGCTCTCCCCAGTGTAGATCCTCGCCACCACTTTATATAAACGAGTGGAGTCTCAGAAAGGAGAAATGACACGTCCAAGCCGGCCTGGCCGGGTCAGCCACACCCTGTGCCCCAAGGAAGAGTTGACCTGGCACCCACTGTAGTCCCTGCCTCTGGCTGGGACTCTGCCAAGAGGCCCTCCTCCCAGGCACAGCTTCCCCACTCGCTGCTGGGCCCAGCAGTGGGCATCTGCAGGGCCTCAGCCACCCAGGCCTGAGTTTGGACACCAAACTCCAACTGGGGAGCAGGCTCCCTCCTCCCCCGCCTCCACCCACAACCAGCACTGTGCTGCAGAGGCCGCCAGATTTGGGGAAGTCACCAGCTCCACCCACCTGCAGACTGCAAGCCCTCACCAGGCATCTGAGCTACTGGATCACCCAGAGAAAGACTGTCACACCTCTTCCCATCTCCACCCCGTTCACACTTGGCTTCCCACCTGGCTTCCCGGGAGGCCGGGAGAAAGAGCATCCCTGCCCGCAAGGGAGGCTGCCGGCCTCACTGGCTCCCTCTATGCTCTGCCTGTGTGTTCCATCACCTCCCCAGCAGCACCCAGAGAAAGCTGGGGAGTCAGCTTGGCAGAGCCCCTGGGCCCAGCCCCAGCAGAGGCTCTGGGATTCAGCCCTGTCAGGGGTGAGAAGACGTGGGAAACACGGAAGAAAGGAGATGTTCCTCCCTGCTGGGAGACACATCTTGGGCCTCCTCAGAAGGCCCTGGCAGGCTGCAGAGGGCAGGGCTAGGAAGCGAGCCCTGGCCAGTCCCGGGACCAACTCACCCTCCTCAGCCATGTCCTTGTCCAACACCAGCTTGCCGTGACGGAGGAAGTTCAGGATGGGCCCGAAGTAGGTGGGGTCACGGTCAATGAGGTAGGCCCCGGTCTCATCCTGCGGAGGTGAGGGGCACGGGCAGTGAGAGACGAGTGAGGCCTCCCCCTGCCCGACCCGCACATACCCCCCCACTTCAGGCCCATAAAGGACTGGAGGGACGGAGGGAGCAAGCGTAGAGTCTGCTCTTCCCTGAAACCAAGTGGCATGATGGAGCAAAAAGGCTTTGGGGTCAGATACACCTAGGTCCAAATCCTGCCTCTGCCTTTTCCCGACTGTGTGACCTTGGGCCAGTGATCCGGCCTCTCTGACCCTCACTCCTCTCCCCCATAACTAGGGGTGGTTGTGAGCAACCAGGGAGGTCTGAGTGGCACCTGACCCAGAGCAGGACTCAGTGATTTTCCCTCTTAGAGGTTGTTCCCCTGAAGCCAGCCTTACACGGTCTCCGCCAGATCCCCAGTCATTCTGGGGATGTTTACAAGTTTCCAAAGGAGCCGCTATCTCATTGGACACCCTCAGCCTGCAGGGAGGCAGGGCAGACATCAGTGCAACTCTACACAGAGACAGGAGACAGCAAGAGGTGAGGGGACTTGTCCAAGGTCACAGCATCAGAGGGTCAGGAAACAGGAGACAGGGGGCCTTAGAGGTCATCTCCAGGTGCAGCCTCCTCTGGTTACAGACAGGAGGCTGCGCCTGGAGCAGGGAAGGGTCGCCACCAAGGCCATGCAGGCAGTCTGCAGCAGAGCCAGGATGGGAAATCAGAAATGGTGCCCACCAGGCCAACGCTCCTCCCTGATGAAGCCCAGCTCAGAAGGCACCCCAGGACTTCAGCCAGCTCCCTGCACCCCTAGGCCACCCACACCCCAGAGGGCAGGGAGAAGCAGCCTCAGCAACTCCTTCCCCAGTGCGGGAGTCCCATTTGGGAAGGAGGCGAGGCCCTACGTGTCTGTCCGTCCGTCTCCACGGTCCCAAAGAAGAGGAAAGTCCCCATCCACTAGCTTCCTAGGGTGGGCGCCCAGGGCAGAGCTCAGAAGCTCCAAATGGCCGCGGCCTGGCGTTGTCCCGTTGCCAGGGCAATGGGCACATCCCTCACTCGGATCCGCTTCCTCCCCTCTCCTCCGGCCAGTTCTTCCCGTCTCCCGCTCTTGGGAAAACCCAGCCGGGTTCCCAGCCCGGCGGGCAGGCCAGGCCGGACGGCCCCGATCCCGCGCGCAGAGGACCCCCGCCGCCCACCCCGCGGGCCTCACCCGGTCCGACTGCAGCTCCTCCCCCCGGCACAGGCGGCTGAGGAAGGACTTCTGCTCCCGGCACAGCGTCTGCCGGGTGGTGAGGAACACCGTGCCCCCCACGTTGAGCCGCACCCACTTGCCCCAGCCGCCCGCCCCCGCCGGCGGTGCTGCCTCTGCGGCCTCCATCCTCAGCGCTCGCCCCGCCGTCTGCATCCTCGCGCTCCAGGCGGCGGGGGGCGGGCAGGTACCGCGCGCCGGGCATGCCGGGAGCTGTAGTCCGCGCCGCCCGGGCTCGTGCGGCCGGGGGCGAGGGTCCGCGGGTGCCCGCAGCCTGCCTTCTCCAGCCCCACCCGCTTTGCCCTTCCCGGGAGGCCCACAAACCCTGGTTTCTTGAAGAAGCCCTTTGGCCAAATGACTGTGTGTTTGGGGAAGGTCAAGTTCGCGGTCACTGGGAAGATAGTGAGTGATGCCCCAAATGAGCCATCCTCCGATTTGTTCTCCACATGATTGTTCTCCCTTTGTCCGGTCTGGGTTATCAAACAGGCGATATGGGAAGAGACTTTTCCCTCCTGGAATTGCCATGCTGTTTATCCGTGTCTGTCTTCCAGTATTCTTTCATTCTGCCCTTAGTGTGGGAGGGAGTGGGGAAGGGGAGCTGGTCCTTTCCCCACATAAGTTCTTTCTGACAACACAGTTGGGCTTAAGGCTGGCTGAGCACCTTCTCTATTCCAGATGCTCTGTGGGTCTATATTATTCACTGAAGCTCTCAGCAGCCCTGTGAGGTTGGTGTTACTGTACCCATTTTACAGATGGGGACGTAGCAGTGAAGTGACCGGCACGAACCCAGGTGGGTTCCCAGTGCATTTGCACCACCAAGCCCCTTCCCTGCTCCCCTACCATTGTCAGCACTCCCTGGGAGAGATTTCTAGGGAGACAGAGTGGAGAGGGCACTGGCTCAAAGTCAGGAGAACTGGGTTTTCAACCCAGCTTTTGGAGGCTGAGGTGTTGGGATAGGTCTCAGTTTTCCATCCATAATTCGGCAGGGTGAGGAGGGATTGGGTCCCCTTCTAAGCCAGATACCTGGGAGGTGGGACTGACCCTGTCCTAGGTACTGTAGGAGGGGGGAGGGAGGGACAAGGGCTGAAGGGAAGCTGTCCTCCTTAACTTCCTCCCCATGTTGCAGTCCTGGGCCTGGATTAAGGGGGAGGGGTCTGAGGCTCCCCTCATGGATCCCAGTGTCACACACACAGGCCCTGCACACTGCGCAGCCTGGCCCTGTGCTGGGGGGAAGTTCTGTGACCTCCTAAAGCTTTGCTTTCTGCATGAAGCCTTGCCCCTTGACAGGGAATGGGTGGAAGCTGCTAGAACCCTGCAGCTGAGAACTCACCAGTGTGATCTGGAGCCACTTCCTCTCTGAGCCTCAGTGTTCTCTTTTGCAAAATGGGAATTATAATAGAATGCTACTCGAGAGCGTTGTTGGGAAGATTAAATTCCATAACGTCTGTGGAACACCCAGTATAGTCCCTGGCATTTAAGATATTGAATGAATGAATGAATGAATGAATGAAGTGGGATGTGAACTGGTCTTGAAAGATCAGCTGCACTCCAGGAACTTAGGGAGCCCTCAGCCATTGTTTGCTAAAACAGAACTAGAGCAGGGAATAATTCTTTATCCACTGAAGGGTTGTAGGCAGGGAGTGACTGGTCAGACTGCAATTTAGGTCACTCTGGGGTCTGAGCCCAGTGCGGGGGGCTCGTCACTGTGGTGCCACAGGAGGGGTCCCAGGGGCCGGGGCCCTGGAAGTGTGGGGGAGGCTGGGCCAGCACTTTTGGTCCCAGAGGGGAGGGAGAGGCTTTGACTGAGCCAGTCTCACCACCTCCTTCCTCAGAGGGCCCCACCTGTCCCTGGAAACCAGCATCTCGTCAGTGAGCACGTAAAATGTCCCCACCTGAAGCAACAACCTCACCGATGAGGGACACAGCCAAGAACCAGGTGGCAGGACCCGAGGCCCTTAAATAGAGCTGATAGATGCTACCACATCCCCGCCCGCGTCTGGGCTTTGTCTGGAGGAGGCCATGTTTGGGTGGCAGAGCACTGATGGGTGGGGAGGGTACTCCCACCCCTGGAAAGTGACTCTTAGCCCCTCCCTCCCACCAACCATCATTCAGCGCCATCACTATTTGTTGAGCGCCAACTATGCGGCTGATATTGAAACACAGTGATGAAGACGTCAGAGGTGGTCCCTGGCCTAGACGGGGCTTCCGTGTGGGGAGCTGGGTGCAAGAGGCTTTAACTAAACATAGAATCCCAGACAGTCCTGTGTGTAACCACGGACTGGCACTCTTCATAGGTTTTCACATGTCTTCCCCGTTTAGAGGATAAAACCGAACATTCCTTGGATGTTTTCTGGGGTGATGGTTACCCTGGGGGAGGGCCAAGCTTCAAATGCCTGCTGGTTACACTGCCCCCTGCTGTCCCCTTCTGGGAAGAGCAGCTTTCAGGTGTCCTTTAATATGGCTCTGAATTTAACCTCTAAGGGAGACAGGACAGAGGTGGTTAAGGGGCACAGGCTCCCAGACAAGGATGCCAGCCCAAGCTTTTCAGCTTGCTAGCTGGGTGACCTTGGGAAAGTCACTTAACCTCTCTGAACCTCAGTTTCCCCATTTCTAAATTGGGAATAATAATAGCATCTAGCTCAGGCAGTTGTTGTGAGGAGTCAGTGAGCTAACACGCGAAGAGCACTCAGCACACCACCTGAGCCAGGCGTCAGTGGATATTGGCTTTCCTGAAAACGGCCACCTTGTCTATTGTTGTCTGGACCCCAGATCTGTGCCTGAGCCAAAGGCTGCCCCTGAGGGTCCGTTCCCACGGACCAGGGATGAACTAGCCTGACCAGCTCATCCCTGCTGGGCTTGGAGAACAGGCAGAGAGAAAGGCCACCCCAGATGATGCAGGCTCCAGAGCCAAGCGGCTGCCATGTCCTCACGTAAACCCCCAAGACCAAAAGTGACCCGGAGTCTCTCTACACCAGACACAGCTGAAGGAGCATAAACGCGTCCCGGAGTTCTCGCCCGAGCTCCTCGGTGCGTCCTGTTTTGAACCTTCCTGTCTTCTCAGCAGCATCCCCCACATCTGAGTGGCTCATTTCACATCCGCTGTCAGTCCCCTGACTAAGATGTCATTCCTCCCTGCTGGGGGTTTTGGATCCAGTCCTCCTCCTCCCCAAGTTCAGAATGTTCTGACATCTGATGAGTCTCGACACTTTCTTTCGGTTGTTGCTCTTTATATCAAATCCAGTCCTATCACTGCCTGGTTGGTGGTTCCGCCTCTTACCTTGGTTGTTGGTTCTGAGTTGGCACCTTTTCGGGTCACTTGAGGAGAGAAACAGGCATGTCCAGTCAAAGAGACTGTGTCCTGACCAGCCAGAAATATTCGAACAGGCTTTCAGAGGCCCAGGGTCCAGGCTTTGAATCTCTGGCTCCCTGGCTGTGAGACCTGTGGCTGGTGAGTTACGTAACCTCTTCAACCCTCACTTCACACCGTTTGCAATATTTACATCGTAGTGTTATTCGTACTTCTTAGTGTTATTACGTGCAGTAAATGTTAGCTATTATAACTGAGCACCTACTGTGTGCCAAGCCACACTAGAAGTATCCTTCAGTATTACTATGCCCATTTTACAGATGGGGCTCAGAGAGAGCCACAGACTGGAATATTTATAAGATAACGCTGTGATGCTTTTACCTAGAACTTGCTGTAATTGTCAACAGGCATTCACCAAGCCTCCCCCAATTACTGGGCTTTACAGTTTAAGAAATGGAGATGGCGGCCCCTCCTCTTGAAGAGCTCACAGACAGAGCTCGTACTGTTTTCAGACTCCAGGGGGCGCCATTCGCATTGCGAAAGGGCAGGCAAGTGTCTGGAGGGAGGGTGCCTTTCTCCAGCTTGCACAGAAGTCCAGCTGGGGCTGGCCGTGACGCTGCCCGGTCCGGGCCCTGCTGGACCAGCTCAGCCTGGGCGCTGCTCCTCGACAGCGGGCCCCCGGCCTGTCCTGACCCGGCGGGAGTGTGGCCGGCGATTCGGCCTCACCAGCAGGGGGCGCACCAGCCTGCCCGCGGCCTCGGAGAGCCTCCTGCGTGGTGCCCTGCTCACCCCGCCCACGCGGTCCGTCTGCTCCTATCGGTCCCTTCTCAGAAGCTAAGCTGCTGGGGACTGAGGCCCTGACGGTGGCTCACTCTCACCAGCCTCCTCCAGGGACCCGACTCTTCCCCGCAGACGTCCCTCGGGCTCCTGTGGATGTCATTCCACAGCTTGAGTCCGGAATCTGGTGATAAAGCTGGAATCAGGAATTGCACAGAACCAGCAATCTACTGCCCATCCCTCTGGGCCCCTTGGACCCCCGACCCTGCGGCCAGAGGGACATTTATGAGCACTTCCCTGGGCCCAGCTCTGCGCCAGCCACTTGAGTGGATTATCTCTTTAAATCCTAACCCAACAGGGAAATGTGACTTTAATGGCCTTTTACAGAGGAGGGACCCTAGAGGTGTTCTGTGCGCCGTCCAGGCCCCCCCGATTCTCCTCCTGCTCCTCCACTCCCCACCATCTCGCCTCTTCCACAGCCAGCGTAGGGTGGAGTGGGAAAAGAAAGGAGATTTTCCTTGCCTGGCCCCCATGTCCTCTGGTGTGGCTTTGCTCTGGCCAGAGCAATGATTCAAGGTGGCTTGTTTCTTTCTGGTGGATTGTTCTGGGGGTTCTTTGGCACCCCCGTTTTTAGAAGTGGCTCACACTGCTGTTTCCTTCCTGGGCAGGGCCTCCTCCCACAAAGTCCCTTCTGGACAGCTCCAAGCCATCTCTCTTCACCCAGGTCCTCAGCTGGTCCCTGGGAAGCCACAGCCATGCTCTGCCCTGACAAGGCTCACCCTGCACAGCTGCATCTCCTGATTCCAGAACCAAGCAGCCAGCCAGGCCAGCATCTCGCCTACAGGCTTTTCCAGGCATGGGTCCCGCCCCCAGGATGCAGGACACACAGGTCCAACTCTGCAAATGGCCTCCTCCAAGGCCCTCTCACTCAGCCTGCAGAGAGGGGAGGTGCCCCATACACCTCCCCCGGAGGGGTAGGAGAAGTAATGTGGAGCAGACACCCCAGCATCTGCCTCTGGAGAAAGCCTCCCTCTGCCTTCCACCCGCTCCCGCTGGCATCTCTCCTCTCTCT